AAGATTGGCTGCATCTTGAGTGTTCTGGGCTCCACAGTGATGGTAATCCATGCTCCACAGGGGGAGGAGGTATCCAGCCTGGAGTCAATGGCAGAGAAGCTTAAAGATCCAGGTACCCAAACAAAGTGGGCTGTGTTAATTGCCCCCCACCCCCCACCTCGCATAAATGGCAGTGGAAGGTAGAATAACTTGTCTAGCCTGAGAAGAATTGAGTAAATAATCCTTCCATTTTACCCTGCACTGAAGTGATAGAAACGTGCCCATTGATCCATGATAGCTTATTAGTCTCCTTCTCTGTGATGGAAAAGATTAGATTGCTCATGTTTTTGGAGACTAAGAGTGAAAACCTGTGCTACTGAGATGGATAAAGGCTAGTTATTGTCAAATCTGACACAAGAAGTATGATGCAAGTGTTTGCTATATTTGCATTTTATTTTAATAAAAAAGAAATGGCACTTCTCATCTTCAGGATGTTTTGTAAGACAGAGGTTAACTGACTTTCCCAAGGCCACAGGAGTCTATGTCAAAGCGGGGATTAGAACTCCAGTACTTTTGGGTCCTAGGCCTGTGCTTAGACCACTATCCATGACCCTTGTGGTTATAATACAGCCCTTTTAATACCAAAGTGCTAAGCAAGCATTACAAAGGAAGAATAACCACAAAACTAGTAGCAAAATCAACAGCAATAACAATTAACCCTAATATAATGCTGGTTTAGAAAAGAGGATTGTCAATACATGAGAGGTAGCATTAGTGGGAGGAGGAGAAGAAAGGCCAGAGAAGAAACTTAAGGTGAAAATAAACAATAGAAGCAAAGAAGGAAACAGAGAGTTGCAGGGAGGTGGAGCTCAGAGGAAAAAATACCTCACAATATGAGAAAGGAAGTTGGTATCAAGGGAGGGATTTGGGCAATAGCATGATAGGAAAGAATGAGTGACAGTACAGAGAGGAAGCCTGCAGTGAGAAGGGAAGGGAGCAAAGCATGTCAATCCCTCCCCCCAAAACCCACAGGCTCATGCTGCAGTTCATCATAAACACACTGTGCTGATGCCCCAGAACGCCTGACCTGCAGCGCCCCTTCCTATCCCAGGAGAGTCCTAATCCCTGAACAGCTCTGCAAGTACCACTCTGGCCTGATTTGCAGCATTTTGATGTTCCAGTCCTGGGCTCCATGTAGCTCTGCCAATACTTTACTATCCCAATTTATAGCACCCCCTACTATATCAGTGGTGTATTATTCCCTACCCCCAGCCAATTCTGCATCTCTACCTCCATCCTGAGCTGTAGCTTCCCTATTCCAGGCTTTTGTATTTCCATAACAGAATCTGTTAATCATGCCAACTTGTGTGGTAATCTTATGCCTTGGACCATAATGCACTAATGAATAGAGAGAGCCCTAAAATCTCTCTGACATGTAACCACTTCTTGTTTTGAACCCCAGTCACTAAGGTGAAAGGTGAGTATACTGACCCATGGGGGCACATGCCACCCTATCTTGCATCTCCACTCACTGTCCTGTTATACACATAAGTATATGTAACATAAATGTACAATAGTGTTACCCACTCTAATGCAAATCCTAATGATTATTCCTTCTTATCTAAGGGTTTATAGCCTTTGCGGTGTGTGTGCTGGTGAGCTCCATTCTCCTTATCTTCGTGGCTGGGCCCCGTTATGGGCGGAGCAACGTTTTGGTGTATGTTTTGGTCTGCTCTGCCATTGGCTCGCTCTCAGTGTCCTGTGTCAAGGGCTTGGGCATCACACTGAAGGAGCTGTTTGCTGGGAAGCAGGTCCTGAAAGAACCGCTGGGCTGGATACTCCTGATTTGCCTGGTGATCTGCATCAGTGTCCAGATTAACTACCTGAACAAGGCCTTGGACATCTTCAATACATCTGTGGTCACACCTATCTACTATGTCCTGTTTACCACAGCTGTCATGACTTGTTCCGCCATCCTCTTCAAGGAGTGGCAACACATGGTCCTACACAACATAATTGGCACTATAAGTGGCTTTCTAACCATAGTCTCTGGCATTTTCCTTTTGCATGCATTCAGAGACATCCCCTTCACCCCAGACCTGCTGCCCCTCTTTCTGAAGCAAGGAAGGGCAGACCTGCATACTTTTTGGAGGGGAGCAGAAAAACACCAGTCATGTCTACATCAGCCTCTTCTGGGCCCAGAGGACATCTACAAGGGTTCTCAGAGTGTGGAGGAGGAAGGTGAAAGTGTATAATGACTCATGAACCTGTTGCCTGGGAAAGCCTTGGAACTTCTACCCGAGCTTTCTAGTCTCACTACTGAGCTCCCCTTGGTGAGTTTGCTAGATCAGACTCCACCAGCTACAGCTGTGTTATTGGGAATAAGTAAACATTTACTGTCTATTCTGTGAGAGTGTTCTCTGCTTCCACTGCTGGGGACCTGAAAGGCAACTGAAGAGACCTGATTGCAATTTCCAGCTGTTAAGAACAAAACCTGGAAAAGATCCCTACCAACACTGTAACTTGAGTTTCCTTTGTAACATGCTGCAGCTGCTATCAGGCCACAGACTTATGTGGGAAGAGACCCGGCAGTAACACCACACTAATCCTTACTGAATGGAAGGACCACTCAGTTTAGGTGGCCTTAAAACAAAGCTTTTTTAAAATATTTTTTAATATTTAAAGATTGTTTACAAAACATTCTAGCCATGTGCTGAGATCCTTGTATGTTGTCACTGCCCCTACAGCAACAAGGGGTAATGTGTTTTAAGATGACGTGCATAGCATGTTATTTCATAACCTCATCTGAACTTTGCTCTCTGTCAGGTGCCAGCTCTGCTCACTGAGGTTACTGACCCAAAGCTAAAAGCAGAACTAGATTTCCAAAACTGATGACTCTTTAATGTTGTTGATGCCACTAAATGATGTGGTTTTTTGGATCAGATTTTATTGTGGAGAGTGATTCCTTCACCCCGGCACTTACCTTGTTGGGTGGGAGGGACTATAAACCTGTTTTTGGTAATCACCTAAAACCCATTTCTTCAGTTACCAAGAGTGCCCCATAAAGCATTACGGCTGATTGCCACGGAAGCATTGTAGTGCACAAAATGAGTACTGTTTGTGAGAGACTAACAATAGGGACAGGTATGAAAGCCTGAAACTGTAACTGGAAGGAGAGTTCAAGAGTTTCTCATAGATTGCTTATTGCAAGGATGGTTGTGACTTAGCTACTGGTTTTAATGCCTGAAAGATGAGTATATTCTGTTCTCTCATCTTTGCATTTGCTCTCAGAAAAGTCCCACTGTTATTCTAAGGGTATGTCTACCCTGCACAGTATATACTCCTGCTTGTGCTGGAGCAGGGGCTCTGAAATCTGGCAGGAGTCAGGGAGTCTTGGAGCCCAGCTGGGAATTTCCATAATGCTATTTTTAGCCCTGGAGCTTGAGTCAGTTGACCCAGGCTCTGAGACTCAGTGCCTTGGGTTTTTCTTTGCAGTGTAGACATAGTCTGTGGTGTGAATTTACATACAAGAATCAGAAAGCTGTTATTTAGATGTTAGCCCTGCCCTAGGATTGGTTAGATGGATTAAGAGTTGACTTGTCTCATTGGTCCAGTCAGTCACTTGTTCTCTGGAAGATACCTGTTGTGGGAGACTGCAGTGGAAACTAGCCTATGAACCAGCCCATATATCCAAGCAATGGCTCAGAAAAATAATCACTGTAGACAACTGCTACAAAAGGTGAAGGCCAGCTATGGCACTTCTCCCCTGGGAAGGTAATACACAGACAACTTACATCGGTAAGCACTGTCACCTGATGAGGCATATTAAAAGTACTGCTTCATTAGCTTCCACTGTAGAACTCAGAAGTAGCAGTCACAACCATGCTCAGGAAACAGGCAGGAACATGATTCCAATAATTTATTTGGGGTTTCTAGGGAAGAGTAATAGCACCATTAAGCTTTTCAGTTGCTGATTTTTCAGCAACCTGTGTAAGAGGAGATGGAAGGTCTATTTCCTGTGGGAAAAGATGTTTGGTTCAGAAAACCCAACTAGAATCACTCCTCTTGTTGGGTGAGTGTCTACAAAGGCACAGAGGATCAAATGGTCATGAGAACAAATTACCTTCTTATGAGAGGTAGTCTGGTTAGATAAGTTTTTGCCTAAGGAAATCTGCACCATTTTATCTGCTTTGTGGATGAAGTGGACTTAATCCCTTTTCACAAACAGATGATTTACTAAGTGGCTGATCCAGTCACGGAGGCTATGAAATAGACTCCTGTGAACAGGAAATCAGAGTTCACAATATGATATACAGGCTTTCTAGTCAGAACAGATCCATTGTGTTTAACTGTAAGAACTAGCCTGCATATTCTCTCCCTGCCCAAAAATTATTTTATGGTGAACAAAATGGAGGCGACAAGGAATGTGCAGAGAGGCTGCACCCCATGGCAGAGGTGAAAGGTAGGTCTGACATCCCCACCAGCCCTCCTTCCTAAACACAACAAGCTAGTTTTAAAAATTGATCCAATTAATATTTATTCCAATGATCAGGAGAAAGCAGTTTATGGAACAAATCAATTTTTAACAATGTTGCACTTCTAGTTGAAACAACTGTTACTTGGCCACATGACTGACTTTATATCTTAAGTGAGGCTTAAAATCTCTTCCCGTAGCTACATCCTTGGGCAAGTTCTTCTCTCAAAGGACAGTAAGCTAGACTGGTGCAGTCCTGCAACCCAAGCTGGTGGCACGTGGAAGGCACAGATCAACTCAGCTGCAGTCTGGTTCTAAGACCAAGATTCACTAGTCTTTCTCTTAGGGGAGGGTTAATCATAAAAACTGATTCTGAATACAAGACCGTTTAAGGTAGTGGTCCCCTTCCTAAGCTTCACTTAGTGTTTCATTCCCTACTGTCTCCAGTACTTGAATTAGATAAGATCCTAGATATCTTGGTGTGCTCCCCCAGTTAAACATTTTGGAGTTAGTGCGCTTGACATAAGAAGTTCTGTCCACACAATCCCAGAGTGAAGCCAGTATATGAAAGGTAGTCAGTGGGAATGAGAACAGTACACCGCCAAGTAGAGTAGTAAACGTGCATCTGTTACAGGCTCTCTTGTCTAGCTGTAATTTTCACAAAATTGGCATTTTAAAGGACAAAACAAAAAGCTGATCTCAGCTCATTCAGATGACAGGACACTCTAGAATCTGACAGAGGAAGGAGCCAACTTCCCCACAGCTTGTCTTCTATAGCTGTCCCATCAGCCGCTCTCCTTTTCCTCTCTCTCTCCCATTTGTTGTGCAGTTCTCTTTATTAAGGGAACAGAGAAGTCCATGCCCTGCTCAGTCAGACAGGCTCTCTGAGAAGGCTGACTTGGATTTCTGTGTCTGCTCCAACCGGTTCAGAATAAACTGACTGGTATCTATGAAGCGCTCAACACAGTTCACAAAACAGGTCTCTGCCCGACTGTCCAGCTTGGGCCCAGGCTTGTCCATGCATTTCTCCTGCTCAAGACATGAAAAGAACCAGTCAGAAGAGGAGTCAAGAAAGGGTCACCACCTCAGAGGCGTAGTGAGCGCCTTCTGACCGGAGGGGGCCCCGCAAGGAAGGGGGCCCCTAAAAGTGGCAAAATAAATACCGCATTCCAGTTTCTGCATTGTAAGGGGCCCCACCCAGACATATGTTTGGGGGGGGGCCACCGTTCAGAGGGGGCCACGTTCTTTGTTGCTACGGCCCTGCACCACCTACTAAGTTAACACTTCACAAACAAAAGGTTTGTTATTTGGAACAGCAGATCCATCATAGGCAGTAGCTTTGGCAAAGGGGAGGGTCCTGGCTCTCTCCCACCCAGTGCACACCTAGCATGTTTTGCCATAATGCTTATTGGCCCACTTTACAGTCAAACCTAAATAAGCTGACACCTACAAGCCTGAGAACTAAGTGGGTGAAAAGTACTCGTGTTAAGTTTCTCTACACTCAACACTTAGGCTTGGTCTACACAATAGAGTTAGGTCAATGTAAGGCAGCTTACATCAACCTAACTCTAAGAGTCTATACTAAAATGTAGCTCCCGCCACTGTACCTTGCTCACTCCATCAACTTAATAACTTCACCTCCGCAAGAGGCGTGGCACTTAAATCGACGTAGTTAGGTCAATGCAGTGTCAGTGCAGACACTGGGTTGCTTACGTGGACTGTTACTGCCTTTCAAAAACCCTGAAATTCCGCACACTGTCAGTTAAATTGGTGCAAGCGCTCCTGGTGAGGACACGCACTTCTGACACAAGGAGCATAGGGTGGATGTGTAAATTCAATTACTGAGGTGATTGTGCATCCACGTAACTTAGGTTGACTTAATTCTGTAGGCAAGACTTGCCCTGAGTGTACACAGACACACCTGCCCCCTCTTCTCAGCTTGCTCCTGCTGCTGCCTTGTCCATCGAGGTTTCCAGCTCCTCCTGTACACCTCCCTTCACAGAAAGCTGCACCTCTGCTCTCCCTGCATTTTCTACAAAGAGTGGCAACTCCAGCCCTTTTGTCCCTGGCTTCCCCCACTCCTTGGCAAGGGTCAGCAGTTACAGAAACACTATTAATTTGTCCAGAATTTCTGCCTACCCATGGCAAATAGCCCAGACTCTACTAGTTTGACACATTACACCAAGTTTGCTCTTATCCTCATGTTCAGCACAAATATGTTCCATTTACAAGTCAAGATGATTTCCCTAACAGCCCAAGAATACCGATCCCAATGCTGCTGCTCTGTCTCATTACCAGGACTAAAGATGCTGCAATCTCTAGCGGAAAGTTGTTTCTGGGGCTAGAGTCTAAGGGTGGCTCCCTGGCTCTATCCCAGGGGATAATTACAGTTATATATCCGGGCTCCCTCCTAGCCACTGGTCTCAATGACTCTCCGGGTCCACTACCCTAAAACTCTCAGGGTTATGGGCCCCCATCCCTGGGTTCACACCTGCAGTCTCCTTGTGATGTGATGGACATTTGGATACACGCTGAAATTCTGTCTTGCGTTTCCCTCTCCATCGCCACCCACCAGCGCTGGGGAGACAGGTTACCGGGACTGGACGTGCCTGCGTGTTCTCCAGCAACCCCCGCCCCCCCCCCAATATACACACGTGTACTGGGGGTTCCTACCCCTCGCACACAGCGAGCCTCGTGTTGGTGCCTAGACCCCTCTGCTCTCCCGGACACTCTGTCAGCTCAGCACAGCCCCAGATGGAAGAAGGGGGTGGGGGCATGTCGGCAAAGGCCGCACCTGCGAGGTGCGCGCAGCTAGCTGCGGATGGGGAAGGGGGGCGGGGACCCCGATCACCCTCGAGCGAGTGGGAGGAGTGATGTGCCCCCATTCCCCGGAGACGGCGGGGAGCATCTGGGGCTGCCTCCCGCTCCCTCCCCGCCGGAGAGAGCTGCCCAGCCCGCCCGGAGCCGGCCCCTACCCAGCACAGCTCGGTCATCTGATGCACCAGCTGCTGGAAGCGCTGCTTCTGGGTCTCCACCTCGATGAAATGCTGCAGCTGCGGGTCGGTGGCGCCCAGGCCCGCGGGGGACGAGGCCTCCATGCCGGGCTCCGGGCACACAGCTCGCCGCCGGGAGCGACCTTCACGTGTCTGCCTGCAGCTTGCTCGGAGGGGGGTTATCGCCCCACCACGCATGCTCAAGAGGGAAATTATCCGCACTGCGCATGCTCGGAGCGTCCCGCAATCTTCGGCAATGCGCATCCTCAACATTGCCCCTGGGCTTCCAGGCCTCGCTCTCGTGACGAACCAGTCCCCGCGCGGCGGATGACCCAAGGCGCGCGCATTCATTCACTAAGGGTGGGGGCTGGTGTCCAGAGCGAGTCTGAAGGGCGGGCTCAGCCCGGGGGTCGCATCAAAGCGCCTCTCTTCAGGTTGGGGGAGGGGAAGCTGCTGCGCCCTCTGCGGGCCGGGCGGGGCAGGACAGGGCAGGTCTCCGCGGGCAGCAGCATCGGCCCAGCCTCAGGTGCGGGCAGGCGCCCCCCAGCCAGCTCGTGGGGCCGGGCTCTGGCCAGGCAGGCCCAGGGGTAGAGTGACTTGATGTCCCAATATTTGTGGCTTTGTCTTATATAGGCGTTAGAGTTGCCAACCCTCCAGGATTGTCCTGGAGTTTCCCAGAATTGGCATCGCTCTCCCAGGGACTATTGACAGCTATCCGGGAGATTTTAATAGGATATTTTAAGAAAATGACATCATGTCAGGTTGGGGGGAAAAATCTCCTGGAATAGTTTTAGTTAGAGTGGGCAACCCTAATAGGGGTCTATTATCCCCTGCCTCCTGATTTTTCACACATGCTGTCTGGTCACCCTACCCAGGGGAAACGCCCCAGCCAGCCTGTGCCTGTGTGGCTGGGGGCCTGGGTGCAGGGCCGCCCAGAGGATGCAGGGGGCCTGGGGCAAAGCGGGGGAGCTTGTACTCACCGGAGCTTGTACACGCTCCATGTCTGCGGCAGCGGCATTTCGGCGGCGGGGGGCCCTTCAGTCGCTCCGCGTCTTCGGCAGCACTGAAGGACCCGCCGCCGAAATGCTGCCGAAGACCCGGACCGCCGCAGGGTGAGGAAAGGGATTCTCAGCCAGGGCTCGCGGGGCCCAGGGTCTGGGGCAAATTGCCCCACTTGCCCCCCCCTCTGGGCGGCCCTGCCTGGGTGGTGGGCCCCAGGGAGACGTGCCTCAGCCAGCCCATGCCTGTGTGGCTGGGGATGAGGAGGGCTGGGCTCAGCTCCTGGGGAGATGTGTCCCAGCCAGTCCACATCTGCAGGGTTGGGGGCTGGCCGGGCAGGTGCTGGGCTGCAAGGAGACACCTGTGTCATCCTGCCAGGCAGGTCACTCAGACCAAATTGCACCGCACAGCAGGTTGGCATAAGTCGCCTCGTCTCAGCCTCCGTGTGCACGTGTCCATGCTCCGATTTGTCTTTGGCCAACACACACACCCCCTTATGGCAATGCAGCAAAACCACCTCCCTGACTGACAGGGAGCCATGTGGTCCTACTGGGGATGATGCTGTGAAAGTGCAGCTACTGTGCAACCTCTGTCAATCCTACCAGTCCTCCAACAGCTGTCCCATAATGCCTTATTGCCTGCGACAGGGACCACTTTGGTCACAATTGTGACCACCACTGACGGACCATGGAGATTGGAAGCCATCCCAGTATTTTGGAAATGCCTTTTCTTGGTTGTCCAGTGTAGCAAGCACACCTAGTAGCACTCTCTTGTTGTGGGCCACTGCCTAGCCAACCATACCAGAGCTGCACACTAGACAGGCTCTTGCCTGGAGTAGACAGGAGCTATTGGATCTCAGTGACCCAATTCCTCTCAATTTGTACTGTTTTATTTTACAAAAATCCCTAGTTTCTATGTCTCTTTGATCAATCTCTGCTCATAGTTCCTGCACGGGCCATTAGTACCTGGCCATTTATAATCCCTTCAGTCTCTGGGCTGTAGCAAGAGCCCAGTACAGCAGTGAAGTGCTACTTTCAAGGATCCTTTCTCCAGGGAGGTTCCTGATCTGTAACTATAGCAAGTAGGTTGCTATTCTCTTTAGTACCAGGAGGGCTCCAACACAAGTGAGTTGTTGGATTGTGGGAGAAGCTAGAGTCCGATGCTGTTTGGTGAATATCTTCTGCCTTTCTGGGTATGGCAGGCTCTTTTAGGACTCTTCCAGTGCCTGTTAGGGCAGGTTTGTTAGTCACAAAAAAGATTAAATGGCAAAAATAAACAGTAATAAATGACAGCTTGGTTAAGTAGCAGTTCAGGGTTCATCATCTGTTATCTCGAGGATATTTCCCAAAAGGACTCTGAAGGTCGGTCGCTCATCTGCTTTCTGAAACAAACAAAAAAATGCATAGAGGAAAATACCAGTGAAGTAGAAACCCATGATTAAATAAATACTGGAGCCTTGTCTATGCTAGGAAAGTTTTGCTGATGTAAATATACCAGTAATAACTGCATCTATACCGAGAAGTCTGAAGGAATGCCTAACATAGTGAATGCTAATGGGAA